AAATTCTGTCTTTTCTAAAGACAAAAATTTTTGAGGCGAAATACCCAAAAAGAAGTTTGTAAAAAATGAATCCGCCTCAACAATATAGAACTTATCTACAACGTACTTCTTTCCAAATGTTGAAGTGGGGAAATGGAAGACACTAAAGCGACAATCTGCCCGATTCCTAAGTAATTGGGCTGGTGCAAGTTGCCGCTTTATTGTTTTCCGTTTACGTAGTTAAACATTAGCAACTAGATATTTTATAATTTTCGCTATAATCGCATTACATGATTTCATCTCCTCAATTTAATCTCAAAGTTCACACTGCAAAAATTTTTGTCTCAAAAATCTTATTTAAATTATGCAATTTTCATTTAACAAACACTTTTGTGTACGACGCAAATGTCCAAGTTAGGTCTCCTAATCTAGAGATTATCTACATATTTGGGATTTAGAATTTCGACTTTAAATACAAAATCACGACTTTATACGACCGTGATCTTGGAATTTATACCTACTTTGAAGTCAAAAATCTCACTGAGGGGCAAAAATTAAAGCTCGTACAACAAGAATCTCAACTTTTCATTGCGAATGTTCTATTTAAATTGTAAAATTCAAAATTTAACCACACATTTCAGCTAGATTAAACAGATTCCGAATTCGTCAGAAAAACTGTTGTTACGTTCAGTCAAAAAATCAAACTTTTGATGTAAATACATTTCAAGAAGATGAAAGGGTATCATTTTGTGCAAAAATACTTGTGATGCTTTCAATGTAACTTGCATTGTTCTTTTAATATAACATCCGATAAGAAACGAAAAACTAAAACTGCCATTTAAAATATTAAAAATCGCTTTCGGGTCACTTGAAAAAATTGGGAATTAAAAATGAAAATAAACGGCTTGAAATGGTCTTACGGAAAATTCGGTGCTATACTTTTATTACATTTTTGCAGAATTTTGGCAAAGCATTGTTGAAGGGTTGGATAATGACAGGTTTACATATAAAAGCATTGAGTTCCACAATTATTTTTAAATTGTCTTATGAAAGAAAAAAATAACGTTGGCTTCATCAGAACATCATTTCAAAATCTGACCTTACTTTTATCAATTCTATGCAAGTTCATAATTTTGAACACAGCATTTCTTGAACGGGAAGCAAACAACGCTAAACAGGCAATTTAAATGTAAAGGTACTAGACAGCGAACGAAAACATCCTTCAAAATTCCCAAATAATTAAACTATTACACATCGTACAAAAACGACTTAACGCCGTTTAGTCATGCGTTATAAAACACAATTCAGATTGTTATACTGAGGTTTAACACGAACATATTTCAAGTACCAATTCGTTGTTTTTTTTGGTGGTGGAATAAATCACTTTTTCATTCCTCTTGATGTATCACGAATGTTTAGTATCATTTGCATATTTCGGATACAGTTTCAAAAGCATTTCGCAGACATTCTTGATTTAGCGAGCCATAAATTTCATGAGATTTCCACGTCATTATAGGCAATAATAATAAATGTTTGGAAATGCGGTGAACTGATCTTAGCAACATGCTGCAATATTCGTTGATCGATTTAAGACCCTTAACTCCATCTTATAGGAACTATGTTGCAAAATGTTCTCTGGAAATTTTCAATTACTAAAATGCATTAATTTCGCTTAAGAGCTTGTCATTGTCGAAATCGTAATAAATAACTTGCATAATTAAACTTTCCGATCCTTTCAAGTGCAACAGCACGCAGAGAATCAAAATTTTGGAACCACAGGGCGCCAATTTGTAATCCGGCTTTCTTTTATTAACGGCGAAAAATCGCCAGATATGCATTTTTGTGCCGTTCATTACATATTCAATAATTTATTTGCGCTGAATGACTCACTAAAGTAAACCAACACGATTAGAATTCGCAACAGGCATAAAGAAATAAAAATTTGAGACTTTGTTTTATGACAAATTACAATAGGCATTTGTTTAAGCACATGTTCGGCGCCATAGTCCTACCATAACAACAGTCTTTTGCAACTTTTATTGCAAGCATGATTAAGTTATTAATTTATCTAACAACTGTTAGTTCTATTGATTCATAAATTAAAATTTTAATTGCCTACGTGACGATCACATTAATAGTTGTCCTAGAAATGCAGATTCATTCAAGTGTTTTTTCATTCTTTTTCTGTTGTACCTACTTACATTATTGCTATTATATATACTAATTGT